AATTAAACAACAGCAGAGACAAAAACAGAGATTGTTAAACAAGGCTGAAGTTGTTTTGGTATCTACTGAAGCTGAAGACTTTTCCTTCTTATCAGTAACACCACAGCAGACATACCCAATGAATGACTTGGAGAACTGAAATCAATCACTAAGATTGTTGTTTGTTTGTTTGCTTTTTACCCAGGAGGTAAAGATTTCTCAGTGAAGTCAATGACAGCTACATACATACATATACACCTTTATGCAGAAATTACTCTTGAAAATATTGACCCATGTAGCCTTGTCTTTGACTTCATATGACTTGTTCCACCTCTGGGCTAGATATGGTTTGCAATGAATGGGATGGAAGAAAGTGACAGTATTTATATAGGCATCCATATAAAGTAATCCAGACTTTCTTCCATTGCCAGCATTAAGACATATAATAAGTCAACAGTCTTTCACAGAGGTCAACCTTGAGTAACAAAGTATTATCCATTGCAATTTATCTATAGGTTCTAAGGTCCCTACTAGGTATTTGTATCTCTTCAAAATTTGTTGGATCCTGTCTGAATTTTGAAATTATTGCAACTTAGCAGATACAAGCCCTTCTCAAGTGTTTTAGAACCTACATTCAAGTAACATGTTGCCTCCTAGAAAGATTAACTACTGCTGCTAGCCACTGTGCGTTCTCTACCATTTACAAACAAATCGCAAAAAAAGACTCTGAAAAAATACATTTTAGAATTGCTTTAAAAGCAGCATACATTTATCATTTTAGAGGCCACACAAGTAGCAACCTCTTCCAGACTTCAGAGCCTGCTAGAAGCTCTCCCTTAAAACTTACGTTTTTGGGTTTGTTTTTAATTTTTTTTTTCTTTTTCTGTGATATTTAAGTATCTCAACTCCAAGAAGTGCCTCTTACAGCATCAATTTTGCCTTCCTCCTTACTGAGGTCTGTGGTTGCTGGCTGATACAGAGGCTACCTCTCCTGTGTTTGGGTACAGTCGTAACAGGATACAAGTCTAAAAAACATTAATTTACTTCTTTTTTATAAAAGAAAAGCTGTATGTCCTTCCTTGACCTCAGAATCTCCTCCCATGTAGAGATAGAGATTAACATATTCCTTGTAATAACCTAAAGAAAAACTCAATGTTTACCATTCACTCTAAAGACTTCGCTAAAGGAGCAAAAGAAAAAAACCAAAACTTCGCATACTTATGTCAAAGATGTAAATAAGTAGTGTCTAATAGGCACTTACATCCACTTATTTGTTCTGTTATTACACAATCCTCCAAACCAGCATTTTCCCAGGGTGACAGAGGTTATAAGTTATGACAGCTGCTGTGTGTGCACATGTATTTAGCTGCACAGACTACTGTTTTTCAACACCTCTGCCAGTGACCACTTCCTGGTTTGGGACTCCTGTTTTCAGCCAGCCTTCCCCTTTCCCAAGTTCCCCCCTTAGACACAGAAGGCAGAAGGTTATGGAATAGAAAATACCTACAAGTGTATGCCCTAATCACTATCTATGTGGCTTCCAACAGATAGCCCTTTCATAAAAGCAGAGAAAAATGAAACTACAGATTAATTCACTTATACAGGTACCACATTTTTTTTACTGTCTTAGTAGTTTGCCTTTTTACTTCTAAGCTACTGCTAATGCTCTTGGTTGCCATTTTACCATCAGCAAGGGCACAATAAAATAGACCTTCATGATTAACTTTAAGGCAAGAAGAACCTGCTGCTCAGAAGAGAAATCAAATGGAAAAGGTGAATTGTGTATGCTGCCATCCTTGTCAGACATTTGACATCAACAGCTCTCAGAAGGAAGAGAATTGCAAATTTGTACTGAAGTCTGGTATTTTGAAGCAGAGAATCAAAGGGACCATTGACAGAAATACACAGTGCTCTCTGCCTTTCCATGACAGACCAACACCACTCATGCCATAGCACAGCTTGTTTTCTCATCTTGAAGTTGAAAACACTTTGGTAACAGGTATAACAAATGTTTATACTCTAAAGCACATTTGAGACCGTGTTGTAGCTGCTTTAATTTAAGCATGAACCATGCATTTTGGCTTTTTTTCCCCTAGCCATGCAGAAAAAAGAAAGCAGGAAACAACCACGACAGAGTGGTTATAGCTAGATAACAAGTAGTGTTTGCTTGTATTTGCTGCAGAACAGCTGTGACAGTAGGGTTCTGGAGTAAGACTACCTAGTAAGGATTTTGGAAAAACAGCAGGAATCCGTAGCTAAAAACTATTTACTGAAAGTTTCCCAGAGCTTCAGCTTCAAGCTAGACTCTTGAAGTGAGACAGGGAAGAAAGAAAATCAGGTTGAATAGTCCAATTCTCTGCTCCATCAATAAACCCACAACAGCACAGGAACACAGTATAGCAAATAAGCAGAAGATTCGCACCTCCTTCTTCCCCAGACCATTTCAAAATACGATCTAGGGGGCAATAACAGAGTCAATGCTCTTTTAAATCCAAAGGAGCAAAACATTGGAGAAGTGTTCTAGGGTTTTCAATATTTGACTGCTCGTCAGCATAAGCATAAATCAGGTTTAAGAACTCAAAAGCACAATTTTCATTTAATTTTAGATTGTGTACAATTAATGTGTTATAGTTTAGGCTGCTTTAAGTGTTTTTGCTGCAGCTGGGTAGTCAATATGGTAAACAGTACTCCATAGATGGTTAGTATAAATTGCTACCATGTATCAGTAAGAGCACTTCAAGGAATATACAGTTTAGGATCTGTTAGGTCTTCTTACTGTTCCAAGAGGAATTTCTATGCATTCTCTAGCATAATTCTTACATTTATTTTCCAGGTTAACCTGTGTTTTCTTTTAAAAGAAATCCATTTTTGTGTCTTCCCCACCTCCTCCTTGTATATCACTAGTTAATTTTATTATTCAACTTTTCTTTACTACTTCACATTTGTTTCTATCAGAAGAACTTATTGAAAGTAGGAAAGGATGCAAATTAACTTCACAGGAAGGTGGTTTTTTTTCAAACCTATTTTCCAAATAAAAGTACAGTAGATCAGAATAGCTTTTATTTTACAAACATACAAAATAGATACCTGACATTTAATGTATTTCTCAGTCTCACAGAGAAAATATGGACAAGAAATCTTAAATCCACAGAATGTAGGCCAGCTGTCAAATAAGCATATTATCAACATACAAATACAGGAATTTGTAAGTCCTCACTGAAAGTTACGATTAAGATAGGATTAAGTTAAAATCCATATCTAAAACCCCTTCCAACCTAATTAGAAGCAAATTACAATATTTGCATTTACTAGATTTTTATAAAAATAATTTCAAACATTTAAGTATAATATGAGCATGTGATTTACTTCAATATTACTTCCAACATTCTTCTGAGCAAAACTCCCAAGACGTCAGAGAAGAGCAGCCTTACAATTGCCACAGTGCTAACTGTGGCACTTTTGTCAGCATACAAAAAAATTTAAGTCCACTGAAAGAACAGCTTCCTTCAGGTATGTGTGCTTAGGTTGCATTTCCTCAATGAATTTCTCTCTCAAGAGATACAGCTAGTGGAGTTCATTCTTTCTGTATACACCTACAACCCGAAGTTCAAGAAATATGTAATCCCTTCCTACTGGTTTTTGGCCCAGGACACATGGTAAATGAAGCTGTGTAGACTGCTTGTAGTTTACAATCAAATGATGCCAAGATGATCCCTTTTACTCAAACTCTAAGTCAAGATGGAAACAATTCAAATGCATTCATATTACTATCTGCATGTTCCTCTTGTTTTTTGATGACCTTAAAAAGAAACAAGTACATGTACAATCACTATGGAGAAGACAAGGAACTTTCTTCCATTTATTACAAGTCAAAACAAGTCTTCCCTCATATCATTTTAGATATGCCCCATACATGCACTAAGTTGAGGGAAACAGTTGCTTAGGGGAATAAAGCAAAGGCAGAAGAATAAGCAAGCAATACAGAATAGCCAAAAAACAATCACCAATTTTACTGAGTCAAAAAATGTTTCTTGGTATCTAGATAAAGATTTAAATGGTTGGAAAAAAATGTATTGAGAAAGCACAGTATTTTCTCATAGCCCTTTAAAGGATAAGTGAGCAAGCATACTTCCCCTCCACTCAAAGAAAACCTCAGTTAAGTGGCAGCTTTCTCACCCTCATCTCTTCAGCACTCAAGAGCACCTTAGTGCTGTTGCTGAAAGCACAAGCAGACAGCAACAGAAAAACCACTAAAGGCACTAAGAACTTTTATTCAGCAGAATAGCTAATATATAAGGAACTTTGTATTAAAGAGGTTTGAAAAGCAGCTGTTCTCCACCACCACACCATTAAGAGCAAATTCCTCAGGAACTTATTCTGAAGCAAAGAATTAACCCGTTTGCTAAGTATTTACCCCAAACTTCAAGTTTTACCATGCATTTCACACAACACAAATCTGTTTCTTTCAGCAACAGGTAAGGATAGGCCTAGCCTGTTTCAGTGATCCACACATCCTCTACATTTAGACAGAACCATTTTGAACATCTCAGATGTATCACATTCTTTAGGGACTGGTACACAGGAAAGGAAAGTGCATTTACAGATTCTGTAACATCAGTGAAAAACTCTGGAAACAGCCATTTTTGTGACTTTAAATCAAGTAGTCAAAAATAACCTTTACATGGAATAACCATAACTAGAGTAATTCCCACCCTCCGAGATGTATGTTTTCTTTCTCCTTAGCAGATTTTGAGATATGGAATCTCACAAATAATACCTACCAGACAATAGATGGAGTTTGCAAACATGGGAACTATTAGATCAGTCTCTATGCCACACTTAATAGTTTTCAGAATGTATCTAGTCCTAATTATGCAATGCCTATGACCCAAGAACGAACCCAGGAAAGATGCTTTGAAGTATGCATTGGATTTGCATCCCTTATCTACTGGGAGCAGCGATGCAATGATAACCATTTTGGTTGAGAAATAATTCATGAGGTCTCTAAACAAACCACTTGCCTTGGAGATCAATTCATCATGATTGGCTAGATGGGCTCTGCAGTGGATACAGCTGTAGGTTCGGTGACAGTTCGGCAGGTAAGCCTGGAACGTTTTTGATTTTGTCATTTTTACCATCTCTGCTGGTGGCTCCTCACTCAGCTCAGGGCTGGCACTTGAAGAATTACAACTTTGCTGAACTCGCTGACAAAAGAAACACTGGAATATGCAAGCAAAAGCCGTTGTTGTTCTGGAGTGTGTGTGGCACTTTCCACACAAATGACAGAAGAGAAACAGTCACAACCTGTAGGTGAAAAGAACAGAAAAATTAACAGCTTTACAAGGCCACAATAAACTTGTTATTCAACCTTAAACACAAAATGAGGTGTTATATAGAGCAAGTGTCTGTCTGTACTATGGTACGCTTGTTTCCGTAAAGCCCCTCAAGTTCCATGTGACATAGCAACAAGCAGTTTGATCTACTTGATCATGTTTCTAATGAAGGCAGAGATTCAAATGTTTCTCCTTGAAAATCACTGTCAACAATGTATCAGGTATACTCTATGAAATGCATGCAGAAGTTACAGCAGAAAGGCAGGGGACTAGAGAATTATTTCTTTGACATTCCAGTGGTCAGCTCCAATACAATACACGACGAAGCATCTTAGAAGATATTTGCTATGACCAACAATAAACATACAGCAGGTATTTACACCGCAGCTTTCAGCTATATCATATCTGGCTTTGAGTCGAATACCAAGTAAGATGCTGCCACCTTTGCTAGAGAGGCTGTGTATCCTCCTCTTTCCAGCTCAGAAGAATTATGCCTTTAGGCAAAAACCTTTTGACTACTGTCCTGATCAAAGCTAATTAGATACTTCCTTACTCTACCCAAATAATTTTAATGTATGCTGCTGAAATCAGTCAGATAACAAATGCTAAGTTCTGCACAGGGAATACACAACTGCTTTAATCCCCAGGCTGCCTACCCTACTTGCGTAAACAGAAGGCCAGACCTTCCTGCTATGCTGGAAAGCAAGCTTTTGTTTCCCTAAAAATTGCAGTCTAAATATTCAGAGCGACATTTATTGATCTGCCAAAGGCCATCAGCTACCACACTGCGTGTCAGGCTAATGAGCAATCCAAACACGAACACTGCACAGCCACTTATGTCATCAGCCATCAGGTGACAGACGGAGTAGGTCAATAGCACAAGCACAGAAACGAGAGCCAATAGAAAGAATTTACACTATCTTGATCCAGCTATTCAAACAAGCACGCAAAATACTTATTGCAGTTGTAAACTGTGTGCAGTGCAGCAGTTAACCACTACTCTAGCAGTAGGACACTAGTAACACAAACAAAGATAATGAAAGCCACATAAATTAAGAGTTGTTTATAGGAAATAGTCATTGTGCTTCTAACAAAGTCTAGAGAAAGCAATCTGTACAGCAAGCTGCACAGAAGAGGACCATAGCGAGATCTGATGGGTTTTTTGTTTGAATCTCTAACTTGTCATAGTAGAAGTGGAAGGAACTCGAAAACTGAAGGACTTGCCACAAAAGAATTGTTACTAATCTTACAATCAGTCTGTCTGTACAGGCAGAGGTAAGCCACATAAACACGACATGGAGCAGAGCATGTGCAGCCCTAGAAGTAAAGCAGCAACAGGAACTAGCTGCCGAGCACAGCACGTATCTACAAGCCCGAAAGGCTTTTCCAAGTCACTGGAAAGAAAAATACAGGTTTTACATCGTATGTTTGAAATATTAACCATATCAGCACGAAGAGCCAAACTTCTTGAAATGACTGCATTAGTAATTATTGCATTACCTTGGGAAGATACATATCTAATTAGGATTGTGAGGGAAGAACAAATTCAGAAAACAGCTGGCTTTTGTAGAACACCTCGCTATTAGGCTGCATTTATTACGGGGAATAAATACGGGGAATAAATAAATGCGGGAGAAAGAGAAGAGGTGCAGAAATGCAACCCTGGAAGCCAGGCACACAGAGCTCCCCCCCTCAGCCCCCTGCCTGCAGCAAGCGGCGCACTCGGGGCCGGGGCGTGCAGCAGCGGCCGGACCCGCGCCCGCCGCCCGGGAGGGGGGGTGGGGGGGGAGGGGGCAGCGCCGTGACGTCACGCAGGGGGCGTGCCCGGCGGTGACAGGGGGCGGGGCATCCCAGCAGGGGGCGTGCCCGGCCCCGCCCCGCGCGGCTCCCGGATGTGTAAACAAACACCCAGCGTGCCGGGGGGGCGGCGCGGGGCAGGCCGCGGGCAGCCGGGCTCCCCCCGCGGGGCGGCACCGCGCCGCCTGCAGGAGCCCCCGGAGCCCTTCGCGCCGCCGCTCGCTGCCCCCGGACGGGGCCCGGCTGCCGGAGCCCCCGGGGAAAGGCAGCGGCAGGGCCAGGCGCTGCTGTTCGCAGCCTGGGGGGGGGGCAGGGAGCTCTCCCTCCCCTCCGTGCCCAGCGGCTCCAGGAGGCTCCGTGCCCGGCAGGGAGCTGCCCGCGGGCACCCCCGGCCCCGCCGCGCCCCCCCCCCCGTTATGTAAGGGGCCGCCCCCCGCCCCGCACCGGGCGGGCTGCAGGCAGGCAGCGCTGCCGTCACTTCCAGGCGCTATAAATAGCGGCCGAGCCCTCCTCCTCCTCCTCCTCCTCCTCCTCCAGAGGACTTGCCCCGGCAGCCCCCCCTCCCCTCCCCTCGCCTCCCCTCCGGCCCCACGCACACACAGGAAACCGCGGCCCCAGTGCCGGGGGCGCCGCGCGGGGCCGTTAAAAATAAATAAATTAATTAAATAATATTAAAAAAAAAAAAAAGAGGGAGAGGGGCCGGCTGCCCGCCCGCTCCGGGTACTCACCGCTGCGCCCTGCCGGCTCCGCTCCCCAGCCGGGCCCGCGAGCAGCAGCCCCGGGCCCCTTCCCTCAGGCGGGGTGGCGGTGCGGCCGGTGTGAGGGGGGGGTCAGCACCGTCCAGCGGGCACCGAACGGGCACCGACCGACAAAGCGGGGCGGCTGCGTGCGCGCCGGGGGAACCGGGGGGGCATCAGCGGGGCCGGGAGCCGGGCGCGGGTCTCCTCGCCTGAGGGCCGAGGCCCGGCCGAGGCATGGTGCCGGGGGCCCCGCCGCGCTGCGCGCCCGCCGCCGCCTTTGTTGTGTTTCCCCGGGCCCGGGGGCGCAGTGGCCGTTAAACGCGCTCCCACCGCCGCCGCCAGCCAATCACCGCGCGCGCGCGCCCGCCCTCGCGCCCGCCCCGCCCCCTGATTGGCGGGGGGGGGAGCGCGGAGCTCCGCCCCCCCCTCGCGGCTTGGTGGGGGAGGGAGGGGCGGGGCCAACGCGGAGGGCGGGCCCCGTGGCTCCGCCCCCACCCGCCGGCCGTTGGGCGCGTGAGGCGAGCGCCCCCCCAACCCCCCCCTCTCCTCGTGCCTCACCCCCCTCAGGCGGGAAGCGCGCGGGGGGCGGGCGGCGGCGCTGAGGGGGCCGTGAGGGGAGCGCCGCTGGGGCAGCCCCGAGCGTCCTCCGGGGGCTTTGCGGGGTCCCAAACGGAGGCGGTCTGTCTGTCAGGCGGCTGCTGGACAAGGTAAAAGGCGAGGAGGTGGCATCGGTCTGGAAAAGTTTGGTGCTGCGGGGAAAAAGCGTCAGGAAAAGCGCCTTGCTGCAGCCTGGGTGCGAGCTGAAGGGGCTGCAGCGGTTGTGTCTGGAAAAGGAGTTTGGGGAAGGGCTCAGCGCTTACCGATAAACAATGCACGGGTTTTGAGGCATAAAAACACATTTGAACGCTGAAGGGCGATTCACAAACAAGTCGGTTTTGAAGCATCCAGATCGGTTAGCACTGCTCTCACTTTCCTTTAAAAAAAAAATAAAAAATAAAAGGTAAATAAAAGCTAGCCCCTAGTTTATTTTGGCTGGACTCTTCTGTGTACTCAGGCTCAGCCTGCAGAGACACAAACTGACGAAGTCCATGACGAAGCTGTCATTTACACTTTGTACCTTGAGGCAGGGCTCGCCTGTCGTGCTACATAAACACAGCATCAATAAAACTAACTTCACCTCTTTCTCTTCTTGTCAGTACTGACATCTTTCTTCTTTAAATCTTTTATTTTCATTTTTTATTTATTTTGACCTGAGGGGCTTTGGTACTTTGCAGAATATTAGAGAAACAGGAGCTGTTACAATTCCATTACTGGCTACGATCATTAAACTGTGCAGTAGTTGATTTTATTCTGCAAATCCTTGAAGACCAGTACCAAAAAGTCATGCTCGCACAATAAAAATGAAATCTGTATTGGTGAAACAGCAGGAAACAAACATCTGCAGAAATGTTGCCAGTAGGGCTTTAACTGCAATTTCCCTGTCATCTCACCAGCTCCAGTGCTGGTAGCTGTAGTCTTGTACGAGGGGGAAAGGTGGTAATCCGTCTGATTTAGCTGCACTTCAGGGAGCACCAGTTCAGGCTTCCTAATCCAGTTGCCACAGATGGGTTAGATGAGGCGTATGATAAAGGCATACAACAAGGTAATAACTGGAACGGAGAAAGAGGCAGGGATGTAGCATAACCAAGCAGAGAAATTGCATTAGATATGATATAATGTGGAGACTACATAAATCTTCTTGATAAACAGTTTCAGACAGTAAAAAGTTAAAAATATCCCATAGCCAACTTTTAACAACAAATTTTTAACAAGCTATTTCTTATACTTCATTTTGAGGGGCCTGTTACTACTCTCCTGTAGGAGAGATTTTAGTCCATTCCTCCTTAGTCAGATGGACAGCTGTTTTGACCTGGTACAGCTGATTCTATATCCTACACACTCAGCCTGCTCCCACAACATTGTCTAAACATACCACAGTATGTTTACCATAGCTTCAACTTTAATTTTATTTTATTTTATTTTATTTTATTTTATTTTATTTTATTTATTTTATTTATTTTATTGTTTGGAATGAGTACTATGAAGCAACAAGCAGAAGGTCACAATAAAAAAAAATTTTTGATTTCTGCAGGTAGTGCTCCCTATCCCATATCTGCGTCAGTCCACATAAGCTGTGACTGGCACCTCACCGGTTCACTGAACTGGTGGCAAAGCTCCCGTCGCAGTACCCAGCCCCCAAACCCAAAAGGCCCCGATACCACATGTGCACAGTCCCCATCAGTGACTGTTGGCTGCTCAGGGTCCTGGTTCTGAGATGTGACAGATGCTGCAGTAACTTTCTCTCTCTGGGGTCTTGCTGGTCAGGTGCTCTGCTCTGGTTCAGTACTGACTCAAAGGAGTGCAGACCTGGGACCACCTGTGCTGCCGTACATGTTTCTCTGCAGAGTGGATGCAGATACCTGGTGTCTCTTCTGTTTACCTCGAGAGACGCGCTGTGATCTTGGCTTAGGTGTTAGGAACTGCACAGGTTACACAGGCACAGGATTTAAACTCTGCATGGGGCATAATAAAACCCCACCAGCAGTCCAATCCTGAGCATAGAAGTGGTTCTCCTTTTCAGAGATGACAAGATGGACAAGGGGGAGAAAGAAGTGTCTGTCATTCCGTGAGGACAGCAAAGGATCCTGAAAGTAGAACAATGTTTCCATTGTTTTAACACAAGCTCTGCTTCTCCACTGAAAGATCCAAATGACAAGGACACTGAGGGTTTCTTTCTCTTTGCTATTTGTTTCCCTAGTAACAAATACACAAGCTGCACTGTTAGAATACCATCCCTTTCTCTCTCTTTCTCTCTTTTTTAAGATAAAGACATGTCAAGGATGTATTCAATGCCTTCGGTAGCAGGTTAAAGTTGCTTATACGAATGAACCTCTGGTACAACGTGATGTACTTAACAGTACTGTGTGTAATCCACTGGGATAGTGAAAAAAATTAAAAAGCATGGAAGAAATTGAGAAATCTCAATCTAATCTAAATCTCAATCTCTATGGTGTTTGGCCTATAAACTCTTAGGGTGAAGTCTGCCTTTCACAATTGAGCTTTGATCTTGATTAGCAAAGCAGATGTCATACTACTACTACTAAATCCTGTGTAGTGTCCTAATTATATCACAACCATATTATCATCAGTAATATAATGCTCAGCACTTTAATGGTGCTGATTTTGACAGTCTGACAACTCTTGCCTATGCTTCTGTTGCATGCTCTGCATCAAGAAACTGCAGTTTAAATATCTTGCTGTAATAGAAGCAGGGATGTGTTACTGTTTCTTATTAAGAATTCTAATCAAAGTTATGGTCTGTAGTGCTGGAATTCACTGGGTTGCAGGAGCTGTAGAGCTGGAACTCAGTCATTGTTTTTGTGGATTAGCATGTTAGAAAGAGAACTGGTAGGTGAATTTTATTAGAAACCATAAGCCATTCTGGAAACTAGACAAACTCCAAATGTGACAAGTAGAGGCAGGAAGTATTATTAAAGGCATCTAAACTGAGAAAGAATTTCAGGATCATTCCTTCCTTTTTTCCTCAAACATTTGGAGATTTAACCAATTAAAAAAAAAAAAAATCAATTGGTCTCAGAATTGTCAAGATCTGTGGTCTTTGCTTTAGCTGAAAGAAGACAACAGAAAGAGGAAAAAAATCATTTTTTAGGTAAAAAAAAAAAAAGAAGAAAAAAAGAAGAAAAAAAGCTTGCTCTTCTCAGTTACTCAGATTTATAATGCTGTGTTCTCCCAAGTTCTCCAAGAAAAAGAATATGCATTTTCTTCTTGGCAGCAGCCAGGTTAAGGAGTATAATATAGGAATAGCTGACATATAATGGATGTTGTAAAGGGTACTGGTCTTTAAAATGAAATTGGGAAAGAAAGAAACAAACAAAAAGCTAGCTGGTATTAACTAGCTGGTACTTTGTGGCATTAACTTATGGGAAGAGACAAAAGTAGAACAAACTTCTGATTACATAATATGAAAAGATAATATTATGCATTAATTGCAAAGCAGCTCACTGTTAGTTCATAAACAAATTATACTGGTTCTTGTTACCGCATATTTTAGTTATTTGTCTAGCACTGTATGCAGGGGGATATTTAAGGCAAACAAGGAAATTACTATCTTTTCATTTGGCATGATTTTTGAAACCATTAAGAGTAAGTATTTGATTGTTATATACAGTTTTAAACAAAAGTAGAAGACCAACAAAGAGAATCATCCTCCGTCCATTTGATAGCAGCACAGTAAAAAAAGGGTGATCACAAGTGTCAGCCGTATTTACACCTGAAAATTGTTTCTCATACTAGGTAAGCAGTGGAGAGAAAAGGATGCTGGACTCATGAAGTTCTGACTGTCCTCAAAAACAGAACTGCTCAAAAGCGGGAGGACTGCAGGGACTGCAAACAGCTACTTGCATAGTTCAGTAAGTTGGGAAGCCCTGAGATTCTGTATCATTCCTCTGATCTCTGAAAGAGTAACGGTTATTATAAGCTATCCCAAGCTGCTTTGAGGACTTTCGATCATATCCAACATCTGAAAAGACAGAACTATTCCAAACCTCTGAAAGTGGGTGGGTGATTCTGAAAGCAGAGGGGGCTAGGTCGTACCTCCAGTGAGATATGCCTGGACTGTACACAAGAATCAGACAGCCCTTTATCATGACGAGACTGGAAATGGCATATCATCAGTTTTGTAGCTATTCACTCCTGGTGAGTAAATTATACAGTGTAGTGGAACATTTGAATCTCAATTTAGCATGCAAATAAGAGTGGCAACACAATAAACCAGCACAACAACACATACAAACTAATTGCTCTTTATGAGGACTATAGTGGTTTAAAGCACAAATCCAGATGTCAGCATGCATTGTCTGTATTTATCAATAAAGAAACCAGAAGCTACATTTCTCTAAGGCAAAAGGAAAAGGTAGTAGAATTAAAAGAATAATAGAAGCTTTTTTGATGTACATATATATTGTAAAATCCACCGTTATGTAGGATTGTCATCTCCTTCATGTAGCTCCAGACTCTGGCTATATTAGGCAGCTATTACATATCTGAGAAGTTAAACCTGTGTTTTGTGAGCTGTAGAAAACTAGAAATTCATTTTCTGTTGATACATGTTTTGTATAAATACATTCTGCATATGCTTGCCTATATATGCAAAACAAGTTGGCTAAAGGCAGGGATTCAAGCTTTTTCTGTTTAGGATTTGTTTAGTTTCTTTCTTTCTCTCTTTCTGTCTCTCTTTGTCTCTCTCTTTCTCCTTCCTCCATGAGGTGTGTTTCTCATTTTAAAACCTAGACTTACACTTCCATTCTCATCTTATATCCTGTCTAGATTAGGGCATCCAGCACAAGCATACTGTAATTTCACAGATAAATAGGATCAAAGGGACCACTGTAACTTGTTGTGAGTTAGAAGCCATGTCACTTGCCATTATATTACTCATCATTTAAACCAGAACGCAGAAGCACAGAATCATAGGACAACCATCAGGAAAACATCCTGGAGCATCCTGTCTCAGTTCACAAATTAATTTGTTGTTCCAGTCATTAATTACTCTAAGCAATAAAAGATATGCATGCTGTTTTTCCGTTCTATGTATTTGGTTTTATCTTTCAGCTCTCTATTCCTTCATCCATAAGACTAGAGACAATAAAACTTAGTATACACCTCCTTTTGGGTATAGCTTTTTATAAAACACATTTTTCAATTTATGAGTTGTTTCTACATCTTTTCTCAGATCATCCTCCAAGTTATCAAAAGATTTATTGAACTGTGGATTCCAATAGTCAAACACAGGACTGTTCTTTACCTTTTTTGACAGCCTGATGATCATATCTATCTGTTTGGCTAATTGCCAAGTGCTAATTTGATTCTTCATTAGGATCCCCAAATGCATTTCAGAATTGATGTTCTGACTTCAAGAACATGAATACTTTCTTATTCTCATCTTTCTTTCTAAGCAAGCAGATTTGCGAAGTTTAAAGCCCAGAGAACACTTATAGAGATGGAAATACACTTTTGATGAATCTTTTGCTTTCCCTGAATTGCAAATAGCATTTCAGATACATCAGAGATGCTGATTTGAATTTATTTTTTGAGTTGTAAAAACACTTTCAATAACTTACTAGGAACTTACAGCAAAGTTGTTCGAGTAGCTTAAATGCAAATTAGATTTGAAAAATCATTGCCTTTAAGAGAGTATGTACAAAATGGACTCCTGTGAATAGATAACATGGTAATTAGTCTAATAAAAATGCTGGGCCACCCCACAGACCTATTTAAAAGAACGCCCCGCCCCTTTTCTCCCCTGCCCCCACCCCCCACTAGATTCTTTCTTTTCCTCAAGTCACTTAATTTTATAAACCCACGGAGAATGCAACTGAGTCCAAAGGCTACCTTAGGTCAGTGTCAGGAAAAAAGCATCACTGATGTATAGCTTTCTTGATCAGATTAGATGCAAGAGTTTCATTTGTTGGATGGATTACTTTGTATATGAATTCTTCACCCCAGCTACCTGGTTTTGGTTTTCTCCAGTGCGATCTCAGTAACTGTGAAAAGTGAACAATCCTCTTAAAGATGCTGATACTACTGAAATACCGAGGGAGACAAAGTAACACATAACGTTTTCTTCAACTGGGAAGATGCGCCTGCTACTGTACTGGCTCCACCTTGTGGCCGATCTCGTATTTATTTTTTTAATAGATGTCTGAGTCAACTTCTTAAAAACATTCTTACATAATTATTGATAGATAAATATGTGAAATTCCTTTATAACTTTTAGAACAAATGGGTTGAATGTTTCTGATAACAGAGAAATAGGGAGACAAGTTAAAGACAAGATCAGTGCATGCATTGTGGGAGGAGAACTGGGAGGGACAGTGGGTGGAGCGACGGATCACAGGTATCCGGGGTGGTCGCGTGTGTGGCTATAAGAAGCAGTGCTACGCAGCAATAAATTGGCACTTGAGCTAGACACGTGCGTGTCTGTCTCTGGTGTCCCTGCTCGGGGAGCAGACGTCCAGGCAGCCAATCGATGTTGTCTCTCGGGCTGGGGTAGCATGGAGAGAGGCAACATGCATCACCTCTTTTCCAGTATAATGCTGTCAATCACAGTATTTGATTACAGAATCACAGAATTGTCTAGGTTGGAAGAGACCTCAAGATCATCGAGCCCAACCTCTGACCTAACACTAACAAGTCCTCCACTAAACCATATCGCTAAGTTCAACATCTAAATGTCTTTTAAAGACCTCCAGGGATGGTGACTCCACCACTTCCCTGGGCAGCCCATCCCAATGCCTCACAACCCTCTCAGTAAAGAAGTTCTTCCTCATATCCAACCTAAAATACCCCTGGTGCAACTTTAGCCTATTCCCCCTCGTCCTGTCACCAGGCATGTGGGAGAACAGACCAACCCCCACCTCGCAACAGCCTCCTTTAATGTACTTATAAAGAGCGATAAGGTCACCCCTGAGCCACCTTTTCTCCAGGCTGAACAAGCCCAGCTCCCTCAGCCGCTCCTCGTAGGACTTGTTCTCCAGGCCCCTCACCAGCTTCGTTGCCCTTCTCTGGACTCTCTCAAGCACCTCAATGTCCTTCTTGTAGCGAGGGGCCCAAAACTGAACACAGTACTCAAGGTGTGGCCTCACCAGAGCCGAGTACAGGGGAACAATCACTTCCCTAGCCCTGCTGGCCACACTGCCGCTTATGCAAGCCAGGATGCCGTTGGCCTTCTTGGCCACCTGAGCACACTGCTGGCTCATATTCAGCCGTCTATCAACCAATACTCCCAGGTCCTTCTCTGCCAGGCAGCTTTCCAACCACTCCTCTCCCAGCCTGTAGCTCTGCTTGGGGTTGTTGCGCCCCAGGTGCAGGACCTGGCACTTGGCCTTGTTGAACTTCATGCAGTTGACCTCGGCCCATCCTATCCAGATCCTCCTGCAGAGCCTTCCTACCCTCGAGCAGATTTACACACACCTAACTTGGTGTCATCTGCAAACTTACTGAGGGTGCATTCAATCCCCTCATCCAGATCATCCTCCTCGTTACAGAAGCTTCGGTAAGGCATAGTGAGAGCAAGTATCTGTCAGTACTTTTGAACCCCAACCTGCAGTAATATTGCTGTTCAGCATTGAACTTGGTATGGCCAGTGAAATGATCTGCAGCTAAGCTTTAAGAACTGCCTAGATTTTCTGCCAAAACATAACCACAGATCTACTGTTGTTTAAATTGGCGGCATTTTTTTTTTTGCTTCTCCGATGCAAATATTTTTTGTCTGGTTGCCATTAAATAAAATGCTAGCATCCATACTGAAGAAAAAGCAGACACCTTTCAGTCAGTCTCTTGCCTGTAGAGCTTATCTTGCCATCCCTGAACCTGAATAAGTATGTTCAGTAACTGCCCTGATTTGACTGCTTGACCACACAAACCACAAACTTGGCACAGAAAAGGAAAAAAGACACAGCAGAAATTACAGAAGGTAGCCAACATCTGAAGTCAATGACCACATCGTAGGCCCTTGTTCATAACTCAGTTATACAAGGTCATATTTTAGTGTATAGCACAACTACATATTTTCTTCAGTGAGTAGTTCACTTTTGGCACCTTCAATGTTGGCAGCAGGAAGGCAGTGACCAGACAGGGTATGCTGGATTTGCTGTTCTGTTGTATATCACCTTGTGTATTATTGGACAGCGCTTCTAAGGGTCACATGAGAAACCAAGAAATTGCATTCATCTCTGTTTAGAAATATTGTCAGAGATGCAAGATTGCAGAGATCGAGAGCACACAAATTGTGTTTCGAGAAACTGGTCCAGTCAGTTAGTTGCTAGGTATTTGACAGGATGGGACTAGCTGTGCATGTATTTTGGCCATCTTAATATCAGAGATGCATCTGTGATCCATATGATGTGGAAACAAAGCAAGTCCCTGTTTCAAAGGAGTTGCAGGTCCCAGGAAATTATTCCTGGCAAGGAGAATCTCTTGATAAGTCATGTAGACTATCATGATATCCATAGGTGAATAACAAAGCAACCTTACCTTTTAATGTGTGTCAAACTAGAGCATGTTCTATATCTAGATTTCCATTTTATGTTCCCATAGACATGCTCAAAAATCTGAAAATATATGCAGGTTGGCAAGGCTGGCACATAGTGAGTTAATAGTATTGAAGTCCCATTCCTTCTGCTGTACACCATATCCATTTCATAAATCAAATTTGCTTACAGCTGCGGTACAGTTTTATATGAAGAAATCCTTGCAAGATGTTGTACCAAGAAAAAATATTTGCATTAAATAAGTGTGTTGCTTGGTCAGAAGGCGCTATGCACACAGTACACGCTGTGCTATGTACTGTGCCACACAGCTACTGAATACTTATTTTGTTCTGCTCTGGTAGCTACATGTTTGTCAAAATGTTTTCTGAGCCTGGCACAGTCACCGGTTCAGCTTCTAGCACAGTGAGGCAGCACAGTGAAGGGGGCAGGACGGGAAGGGGGAGACCTGCCTGTAGCAAAGGGGGCTCTAACCTTTAAAGCCACAGCATGGCTTGTGTTTTGAATGACTGGAACAAGGGTGGGAGGAAACTATAAAAGGCTATCTTACATCTGCTTGAGACAGCAGCAACCAGCACTAAACATGAAAGCTGCCAGGCATATGTCATAGTGTGCAATAACAATTCCTTAAAATAAAACCAGAGGGAATGCTGCTGCTTCATGTTCTGCAGTGTGCCAGGGTAGGAGGAGGTTGGCTGGTAATACAGGGTTGAAATGCAAATATTGCAATGCCATGTGAATTGGTACGTAAGTTTTGGAGATGCTGATACTCTGGTGTTCATTACTGAAATCCATTTTGTATCCTGGATTCCTGGATTCTGCTGTTGTGCTCCCAAGTATCCTCATCAAATCACTGTTCAGCCATACTTTTTGCAAGAAATTAAAAAATACTCACAATCCAGTGCCTTATTTCTGGGGAACCTCAAATCTTTGGGCTCTAAAAAAAGTCACTCAAGACTTCTGCATGGCTCCTTCTGCATGGCTCAGCGAGGCACGAGACAGGACCAAACCTGCTGCTTGGGCAGGAGCACACAAGTACAAGTCAATGTAACTCACATTTAATCACAAAAGTGGTATCTGCTTTTTTTGTCAGCTCAGAGAATTACACAGTAGGTGGAGTACCTTTCTGAGCTGGGTGCAAAACAGTGAATAAAAACATTGCAAAGCCTTCAGAATCACCGCTAGAACCAACAAGATACCTTGAACATTAGTATCCAGAAACTTCCTGCAAGATGCTTTTCCATGACTACAAATAAGATTTTGCAATTCCTTGGATGTAATTACAAGAAAGAGACCAACTCACATGTAAACAGGGATTTTAAACCACAACAACAGCTTAGTAATTTTTCATATAATCAAACTCCAATCCTGTTTTCTCTGTTGCAAAAATAAAATGGCTATCCTTTATCCTGAATTACTCTTTTGATACTTATGTCAGTACGTATGAAAAGGGGTGGAAAGGTAAGGAGACACGAAGAACAGATTGTACAAAGTTTGACAGTCATAACTAGCATAATACTATTCATTAATATTTATATTAAGAAAGTACCCAATGTTTCACCATGCTTCTGTGCCTCATTCCCTAACAGAGTGTTATACTTTATTCGTAGGTGGTTGGAATTGCTTAGACCTATACCAGAAACTAGAAAAAGGGGGGGAAGGAGGGGGGGGAGGGGAGTGATCAAATCAGTCCTCATCCCACAAAATTTTCTTTTAATCCTCATATTTACTACCTTGACCAGTCATACTGCACACACATTATGACTCTGCCTGCTTAAAAAAAAAAAAAAAAAAAAAAAAAGACTACCACCAAAAAACAAATCAACAAACCACCACACAAGAACATAAATCATTCACTCACCGTTTTGAAGTGAACGGAACCCTAAACAGTTGCTAGGTTAGCCTTTGGTAACCATTGGAGCTACAGTTCTACAGAATTTATACAATTTTTTTTCAGAACATCCTTAAGTGTTATCATCATAATTTTTGCTATTTAATAGTCGTGTTTAACAGTCATTCAGCAAGGTTATTTATATAAATGATATTCGTAGCTACTTTCCACCAGCAGATGGCACAATTACAGGTCCAACAGTTCTACAATTCCTGGAATATGCAGGAGAGCTTTGAAGTACATAGGTCTAAGCTATAGTTATGCTTTTCCTTTAACAGCTTTTATTAGGGTTTTCATGGAGACAAGGCTTCTAGTGGGAGGCTGAATAAAACATATTATTATGTCTTTTCTAGGGCAATTTTATCTCCATTCTTTTTTGCTCTCTGGATACCTTATAGCCCTGTTACAGACAAAATGAATAATGAATGTAACATGAAATGGCTTTTAATTTCTAGAATATAGATTGTGTCTATGTGTAAAGCCCAGTGCTTGAAAAGTGCAAATGGGTAGCCCAAGAAGAATGGTATCCTAGCCCGAGAGCAGGAACAGCACACACTATGATGGTGCACCCTTCTCCTGTGTGCTCCAGCCAGGATCATCCTTGATGGTGCCAGGAAGGGCAGCCTGTACAGCACAGAGGGGCTTATTGTTTGCATCTCCACAGTAGCTAAAGGCTCTGTACAAACATAAACGACATTCTTTGCTAACACTGTCTTCCAGTCAAAACAGAAAAAGAATGTTGTGAGGAGCAACACCCTGTATAGCATACAGGTGAACGTGACTGAAGTATGGGTAAAAATAAAAGTGAAATGGTAAATTCCATGCCCAAGTCTCTGACTCTAACAGCTGCTGTATTTCTTAAGACCTGCAAAAATCAGCAGTGTAACACACAAGCAAGTAAGAACTAAAGATCTACAAAATCCTCCTCTTTCTGAGTAGGTCTTCTTCAGCCTTGTGCAGTCCAGAGGCAGGCAGGTCACCACATCTTCACTGTGATCATCAGGGGTTGGACCAGATAACCTTCAGAAGTTCCTTCCAACCTGATTTTTTCAATGATTATCTGTGTTAGCCTGACATACATTTGACAAAAGCTATCATATAACTGCAAAGAATTACAAAAAGATCTCAAAATAATTACTGGCTAAGCCATAAGAAATACAAATAAAATTCTAAGTAGACAGTTCATTAAACCTATGAAATAGGAAAACATTTCTGAGCAATAAACTCTGCATGTTCAAGAAAGCATTCTGGCAAAATACACTCGCCTTGTTCTTACATTCTCCCTAGGCACCCACTGCTGGCCCACGTCCCCTTTGGAGTGCCCATTCTTCAGCTAAGGCCAGGCATTAATCCAATTCCAGGACAATGTTTAAGCCTTCCCAACAGGACGGACTGAAGAAGAACAACGGATTACAAGAGACAACAAATTGAAATACGGTAAAATCTCTGGAAGGGCACACCAGGTAAAGCACCTCTGGCACCACCTCTTACTTGGGGAGGGAGACAGGGCACTGGGGTGGTCATATTTTTGGACTGACCTAATAAAACCCCACGGCATCAGAAAAAAACACTCAATAGCATCATAACATCTGCCGACTACCAATCTCTGGAAGCTGCCCGCCTGTGGTATAGTTGCAAGTACGATATGGGGATTGTGTTTGTAGGAGAGCACAAGCTGGGTTTATGTATCCATTTTCTTCAGGCTTTTTAGATATTAGCTAGCTCCTCACTACACAAGTTGCTGCAAAGGGTATACAAATGTACTTATTATTCCTGAACAGACCAGATAGTGATTTTGTCATTATTACTAGTTTACTTGAAGATTCTAAAAATAATCCAGGGCATAGAAGCGTGCACTTGAAAAGCAAATAAGATTTTCCCTCCTCCAAATTCAAGTACGGTTAGCAGGCAATAGCAATGTAGGATCACTGAAATGTGGTCTTTTTTTTTTTCCTACAATGAAAATGACTAGGCATTCAAGTGATTCATACATTTAAGTAAAAACAAAATACACACATGCAAAATTTCAGTGCTTTAACACAAAAATGTCATCATGAATCCATTCTCAGTGCAAATGAATGCCACGGTAATACTCGAATATCTGGAACAAGCAATTTAAGAGCTGAAATAGCCTCTCTTGGTTAATTAATTGCTATCTTTGTTTGAGGAGGTGTGTGGCAATTTGCAGATAGCAATGTTTATACAAGAAATGCCACAAGCTTCATTGTTGCTGCCCACCTCTACCCACAAAAACACTTGGGTTATAATCATCACCTTCAGACAAACTCTGTTACACACAAGGATTTCATTCACTCAAGAGGATTACTCCTAAGACATTTCTGTTTTCTAGTACCTGTTTGTTTGTAGTTTGGTTGCTTTTTGTGTGTCAGAGATTCCATTCAATAGCTGTCATGGGCATAATATTTTATTCTGAGAAGCACTGCATTTATTTTGAGCATGTTTATTCTCTGAACTAAATATTTAGTTTGATATGCTTGCTGTAAATAGGCTCAATTGCCCCTTAAGGTAAAAGGCCACAAGCTACAGTGTCACAGCTCCTGCTTTGAGAAACAGTTTGATCCATCTTAAGTGGAACAGTTTCCAGAGAAATGTTTCCACATGGTAAGTATTTGCCTCTTAATTAATCTAAATCCCTTAAAAAGAATCAGGCTCTCAAGGACTATATGTCACAGCTGCAGAGAAGCATATTTAGAGGGAAGAATAAGGTGAAGAATTAGGTGAAGAGCAGTTGAAAGCTAAGGAACAGGAACGTTGGCACATCCAGTCATTCAAAGACACAAGCAACACTGAAAGGTCATTTCTTTCTCTCTACTTTAAATGACTGATGTAAAAGGAAAGCAATATTCTTAATTACTTAATAAAAACATGAAGGGAAGCTATAGTCTAAAATAAATGCATTAATACAGTCACTTTCAACAGAATATGGCTGGCAGTGTCTTAAGTCTGGCCCAAAGTATTGGATATCCACATCTTGAAATTACTTGTTCTTTGCTCATATACTTAGTGTTATTTAAATTCTGAATATAGCTAACAGTATTAGACAGCATCACATTGTGTTTTTTGGCTCACCAGAGTTGCAACTCTTTTCTGCTTTTCCCCTCCTGAGCAGTTCCAAAACAACTCCAAACTACATGCTGTGCAAGTGCTGCATGATTGCCACTAGAGCTCTGTTGCCCATTCCTTCAAATAGCTGTGCTTGCACTGCAGAGCATTAGCACAATTATTTTTTCAAAATGAATGCACCAAACATTTTCTAAACCTTAATTTTGCTAAAAAAATTTTTTTTCAAATTAATACACTCAATGACCATCACCACAATACACAAGGAAGGCAAAACCCTTCTTGATATATCTCTCTGTCAAGTCCATTGTACAAAACAAAGCCTGCATAGCCAAAGGTACTAAGAACCTTGGCTAGTACCATCTCACAAGGAAGCATCATTTTACCTTAAAAGAAAATCATCTATTGACTGTCCTCAGAGGAAAATAATAATAATTGATTATAAAATCAAAGCTGGAGTGAATACTGCTTCCAGGTGAATGCAAATAGTGGCAGAGAGGAAAATCTAATTACTCACAGACAAAGAAACAGCATTCAGTCTGCACTGACAGGAAAAGAAAAAAAAAAAAAAAAAGAAAAAAAAAAATGAAGCAATAAGGAAATGGAAGAGAAAACTGCAGGGGATGATTCCATAGGGATGCTGTGATGGAAGGAACAGCATCAAGGACCATGTATTTCAAAGAGCTGATCCCTCTGCTTCCCCTTCCAACTCAGGTATACCTTTCTAAAAAGGCCTATTTCCCTGGTAAGGTTTAGAAAGACACTTTTTACCTGGATATGTAAAAGACAACTGACTGCAGCCTCAGGTATTTGGGAACAGCAAATCTCTTACCTCTGCAGCACCCCAGGAAATTCAGCCATTTTAATGTTTTCTTAAAGCATGCTGTAGGATTGACTAAGGGATGCATCCATCCCCCAAAGAAATGGCACAAAAATCCTTAAATATTATCTACTGCTGTACTAAGAACAGGCCATCCACAACACATGCATACAGGAAGGCAAATTGCTTGGAAATACTTAACATCTGACTGCTGATTAGATCACCTCAGGACTGCTTTCTAGAAGGGGATATTGTTTATAAACACATCCCCATCAGCTCCTAGCAATGCCTGCCATACCTTTCCTCCTTCCTGCACACCTCTGGACCCAGCCACCCAGCACTTGGTGCTCTATTTCTGACTGTTGCATACCAACCATGAACAAAATGCAGCAGGGGAGCGTATCTTTTATGTTTTTAACTAAAGCATAGCACTTTGTCTTCTCTACACAGCTCAGAATGCTACCACTTCTTCCACCAGTCTCTCAGTTAGATAGGAAGAGAGTCCTTTACTGGAGCTGATAAGCTCCAAGGACAAAACCCTACAACAGCAAGTTTCCTATCTGCTTCCAACCATAAATAATTTTGTTTTCCACTTGCTTTGTGAATTATTAGAGATATTTACCTAAAATGTATTATTGCTCCACTGACAATCAGTTTGACATAAGTGTTGATTTACTGTCTTCTAGAAAATTATGTTGCAAAGTCACTGTGTAGAAATAATTGCTGTCATGCCATAGTTTCCTGGAACTTGTTACTAGAACCAGACTGCTTTAAGTGCAATGTGCAGGTCCTTCAGGAAAGTGCAGTTAAGATTTAGAGCTAAGGTAACATCACACGTTTACAGAGCAGCACCACAAATAACTTGACCATGTGTTTACAGTAATTTTATTTACAAGTTACCACATGACACCTGTAGTACTACAGTTTTTGTAACACCATTAGCAGTAAAATAAGTCACATCTAAAGAGTAGGAGACAGCAGAGAAAAATGTGCACACAATGCAGAAAAGCTATTCAGTTATGACTGAAAGTAGGTATTTTTCTACAGACTCTGAAAGCAAGGAGGAATATACGTGTTGAAAAGAGCAAGTTCTTCACCCCTGTTATTTCTACATTTTTTTTTTTTATTATTATTATTTTTTTTTACAGTGATACTTCAGTATGATGAGTACTACACGCTAGTACTCAGATGCAAGTGGTGGGGAGATAACTATCTTAATACCTTGTCCTTTTGAGCACCCAGAAAGGAAAAGCAAACCTTCCCTCTTTTAAAGGAAAGTTATCCAGGGCAGATTTACTTGCAGAGCCAGTAGTGCAAAATCGCTACTGAGGGGTGAGGAGGGACAGAACTTAAGACTAGAGAGTTCCCATGCATTGCATATTGCCTGTGAGTTCTCATCTGGTCTGGAGTTAAGTAGTTGGTGAGCAAAACCAGTTGCAGCATTCCACAAGTCTTTTTACAGTGCCATGATCTAATAAGGCTGAGCGTAGCTTAGCAGAATCCCAAAATCGAGCAGAGAAAAAAGCCCTTCTGCTGTTTTATAATCCTTGGCTCTAACGATGCTGGTGTTGAGCCTGGGCCTTTCTCAAGAGGAAAAACGTGGAGGAGCATTTCTGAAGAAACTCTCTAGTTCTAGATGTATTCTGATGATAAGAAAATAACCTTATTGCAGCATCAGATGCAACCCTTTTCTGCTTCAAAGTACAGCAGCAGCTTCCAGAAAGCAAACATGGTATTCAGAATGCATCCTGCCCTGCCCCCCTTACCCCCACCCCCCCCCACCCCACCCCCCCCCAAAAAAAAAGGAAAAAAAAAAGGAAAAACACACACACAAAAAAAAGCAAAACAAAAAAACAACTATCTTTAATAGCCTGGTGCAACTGTCAATGCACAAAATCCATGCTAGTGGCAACTGCTGGAAAAACAATGAAATAAAAGCTGCACAGTAATAATTATTTCCACTACTAACTACACACAGGATATATTGCTTTTGGTACAATGCCATTTATTGTCACAAGAAGAAAACCAGTGATTACGCTGGGCACACATGAATTATGCAGACCTTTGCCATGCTGGAATAACAGCATATTATAGTTAGAAAAATGTCATCAAGTCAGCTGTAAAAACAGCTTAATACAGTTCTCCCAGCATACCAAACCACCCTCAAAAACAAGTTTATAAATTAAGCTTAAGCTACAAAAGAATACTTAAGAAATGACCATTTGTTTTTTCTTTAATCCCCACCTTTGTCCTGAGGACCGCATATACACTGCACATGAGAGCAAACAGAATTAAACACAGCTACAGTGACACCAACAACGTTCATATACATACTTTTGAGCGTGTGAACTGGCCTGCAGAAGTTTGTTCCCCCCACATTTGAAGCCTACCTATTCAATGAACCTGTAAAAGTGTATACAAGAACTAGCAAAGCTTAAAAAAAAAAAACAACACGTTAAAAAATCTGTTTTGAACTTGAGTCTCAGATGTGTCGACTAAAAGCTAGAATATTTGTGAGTTTTAACACTTCTAGGAATATAGAAAGGTTTTTTTTAGCCAAAA